GCCATAACTGCTGAATTATATGGTTCACAACTATTTGGGATGCTATCTTGCTGTAGATCTGTAGGTGCTTTAAAACTGGCAGGACTGCCTGCTCCACAGTTACAAGCAGGTGTAGACTATTTGCCCAGTCTCTCCTTTGCTTTTATTGGCCCTGAACCTTTAGGATTTGAGAAGCTGTTTTCAACATTGTTTGTTCTTGGGAGATAAACTAGGCTAGAAACTAAGGTGGCTGAAAGCAGTTTGTCCACAGACCAACCCAACTCATTAAACTCCGGTGCAAGTTCTGTGTCATTTCCAGGTCAGAGAAATAATTTTGCCCTTCCAGGCCTTGAAGGAAGGCAGTGATGTCACAACATGTTCACAGGCCTTCTAAATGCAGGGGAGTGAAATGTCAGTTGCTCAACCTTGCTAATTGTGGCAGCTGTTGTGAGGAATGCAGCAGCCAGGGGAAACCCTGCACTCAGCCAGGTGATAGGAGGAGAAGTTGTCTGCTGTTTTGTTGATATGAGGAGAGACCCCCCCCCCCGGAAAAGGGAGGCCAGCAGCGCTGAAGTCTATGCCCAGTCTTAAAATAGCCAGCCTGCTGATCACAGGGGAGGTCATTGTCCAGAGGTATGGGGCTGGAACACAACAGGCAGGGATAAAAGTTTAAAGACACCCATTGCAGGCACTCACAATCACATGCAAAGTTCTGGCTTACCCGGTGCATATGGAAGCATGTATTTAAGATAGAGCTATCTGTGCCATAGGGGGACGTGGTGGCTCAGGGGCTAAGGCTCTGAGCTTGTCGATCAGAAGGATCAGCAGTTCAGCAGTTCGAATCCCTAGCGCCGCGTAATGGAGTGAGCTCCCGTTACTTGTCCCAGCTTCTGCCAACCTAGCAGTTTGAAAACAAATAAAAATGCAAGTAGAAAAATAGGAACCACTTTTGGTGGGAAGGTAACTGCCTTACGTGTGCCTTCGGTGTTTAGTCATGCCGGCCTCATGACCACGGAGAAGTCTTCGGACAGCGCTGGCTCTTCGGCTTTGAAACGGAGATGAGCACTACCCCCCAGCAGTGGGAACGACTAGCACATATGTGCAAGGGGAACCTTTATGTTTACCTTATCTGTGCCATGTGTACAATATGAACTCTCTCCTCTCACTAGCTGTATGTAACATTTATGTAACATGGATCTGCCTCTACCGAGCTCCAGTACAGACCACGAAGCCGCACGCTGTTCATCGGATAGCAACTCTTAAAATGTAATTACCGTTTTAAAGAAACCAAGTAATCGGAATATGTACAGCTTTCCTATTACACTTTATCTACACCAGGGCTTCTTAAATTTGGCAACTTAAGATGTGTGCAATTTAAGAAATTCCACAGCCAGCCAGTTAACCTTGTTGCCAGTTTTGAGAAATATTGATCCTGCAACAAACCGGAGGCCAATTAAGATATGGACCCTTATTAGCTCCCTTCAACCTGCCATCTACAAGGGAAAGAGCAATTGCTCCATTCCACCTGGAGAACCATAAAGAGTCTCGGTCCTTAGAAGGACAGAGAGCTTGATTGGGGCAGCTTCCTCCCTGGACTAAACCTGCCAGATATGGATATATCTGGCATCCGCTTCTCCTCTTCTGCATTTGTAATGGAAAACTCAGGAACCTATTTCTGCGTCAGGCTTGTGTGTCTTCTCTTCTCCCTCCAACTCTCCGAGTAGCCTGTTGTTGATTGCCCTTGTTTCCTTGACAGCTTTGTACATCTTCCTCTCCTCCTGCTTCTCTTTGCAAGACACTTTTGTGCCAGCTCAGGTCATTCAAGCTGCCTCTGCCAGCTGGCTGAACTGAGCCTTGAATTAAATTACGTCTGGAAGTCTGGCATGCGGAGACCCCTGGGGATCAGCTTGGAAGCGGCGGCTGCAGTTTCAGTGGTGGGCAAACGCCCCGGGTGGGGGGGGAGGGAGGGGGCTTTCCATTGGCCAGGCTGTTGTCATTCCGTGGATTGGTGCAGTTGACTCCCTGGAAGGAATCTCTTGAAGCATAGAGAAAAGAAGATGGGTGCAATGGACGGTTGGCCATGGTTGAGTTAAAAAAAAGAGCCAAATGCTCATGCATTTTTAAGGCTGTCTTTGAATAAGTGAGAGGATAAGGCTGTATCTATCCCAAAGGAACAATGTCAGAATTAAAACAATCCCCTCCCCTGAATTTTAGACAATCCTATAATAAATTTGAAAGGGGGGGGGATTAGCCACCCTTTCACTTTCAGATTAAACTGTGGACTTCCCTTTTAGTAATTAACAGATGACACCTTTTGTTTGGTAAATTCAAAAATTCTCACACTTCCAGCTTCTACCTTACTCACTTCCACTAGGTTGCCTTGATATATTCACTGCAAAAGTGACTGTGATATTTGTGGGGGGAGGGGGGTGAGGTGGGGGAAGGAGAAGTATTTTTTTAACTGCCGATTTGAAGTTGACATTCCCGGTAGTACTTTTTAAACACTGTATGTTTAGTGTTACATGTTAGATTGTTTGTTTTCTGGTTAAGAATCACTGGTTGAAAATTGTGGTGATGATTTTTGGCTAGGTTACAATACCTTATTTTATGGAAAAGTTATCCCCTGTTGGAGGCATCTTGGGTTCATAGCAAGGACTGTAGGGCACCCCACCTGGTAGTGAGATTCCACCGCAGACATCCCACAAAACCAGGAAAAGTGGCCCTTCAACTCCTAACTAACTGTAATTTATAGCTCCCCAGATGCTGTCTCTGTGGTAGGGGGCCGCATGTCAGCTCCGGCCAGCTCAGAGGCCTGGAGCTAGCATTCAGGGGAGAAGACTGGGCCAGCTGCCAAAACTCACCGTCCCACCTACACAAACTGAAGAAATTCATACTAACAATCCATGATTAATTGCCAGGTGGTTTCGCTCTGGGTCACAAGGTGATGGGTGTGCGCATGCCCGGGATACAGCTTATCTTAATTACCAATGTAGCTATAAAAGGTGGTGGGAAGCACAGGGTGGCAGCTCTGACAATTTATTCATTGCCTTAGTGCTTTGTAGAGCCGAGGTGGCGCAGTGGTTAAATGCAGCACTGCAGGCTACTGCTAGATCAGCAGTTCAGCTGTTCAAATCTCACCGGCTCAGGGTTGACTCAGCCTTCCATCCTTCCGAGGTGGGTAAAATGAGGAGCCGGATTGTTGTTGGGGGCAATATGCTGATTCTGTAAACCGCTTAGAGAGGGCTGAAAGCCCTATGAAGCTGTATATAAGTCTAACTGCTATTGCTATTGCTATTGTTGGTCAGTTTGTGCTGAAGAAAGAATACAAACTGCATTTACAAACTGTTTCTGTGTTTGGCTGGTTTCATTAACCCTTCGGAACCTGACAATAAGTGGTTGTTGTTGGTCACACAGTCATCTAAATGCTTAGACTGGATTTGGGATTTTGGTCTATGTATTGCAGGGATGTCAAACTGACGGCCCATGGGCCGCATGTATCATGTGACATGCACACCCCAGCTCTGCGAAAGAAAGAAAAAATCACGATGTGTCATGCGACAGCAACGTGACGTGGCGAGTTTGACACCCTTGATGCATTGAGTCCTTCCCGAAAAGAAATAGGCAGATGTTTTTAATAATATGAAAGGTTTTTAATCACAGGATGTAAGCTGCTCCAAATAAAAGTAGCTTTTGAAATGACTGATGGTGATTTTGTACTACAAAGTAGTCCTCAACTTATTGCAGGTTGTTTAATGAGCTTTGAAAGTTATGATGGACTAAAAGAAAGTTCTTTATGACTCATTCTTGAAGTGATGACTGCCACATCAACCCTGTGATCCCATGATGAAGATTTGGCAACTGGCCCCCCACTCAGGACGGGTTGCAGCAACTGCAATCACGTGATCACGCTTTGCACTGGTTTTTGCCATTTTCTAGCAAAAGCCGGCAAAAATGTTCAGCGAATAAAATGTGTTCACACAACCATATGGTTCACTTCACAACTGTGTGATTTGCTTAATGATCACTATAAAAACAGTGGGGGTCATGTGGTGCCTCAACTTAGGACCACAACAACTTATGAAATTTGTTCCCAGCTGTGGTCATCAGCCAAGGACTACCTATAATAATATTAACAATAGCCAGATGTTCAGACTGGATTTGGCACTTTTGTCCAGCTATCGAGTCCTTCCAATTGACTTGGGATATGCAAAAGTATCCCAGTTGAAGGTCATTGCCAGGTTTTATCTTTATCCACTTTCCCTTCAGTCTTTGCAGAAATTGACTATGAAGTACTTTTCCTTACTGGCATTCTGTCTTAGGAAGATGATGATGATTCATCACACAGTCAGCCAGATGTTTAGACTGGATTTGGCATTTTTATCCCCCTATCGAGGCCTTTGCAAAGACTTAGGTTAGCTAGCTGTTGCTGTTTGATGGCATTCTTGTAAGATGTAAGTTTTATTATTATTTGTTATCATTTATTATTAATATTATTTTCCCAGGGGGAGTTGTCTTACTTGATTAATCTTTCAAACTTTGAAAGATTCAAATAATCAGTAGGTGAACTTTGAACATGAATATTGTCTCAAGTTCCTTTTGCATAAGATCTCTTATGAGGCAGTAGAGAAAGTTATGTTATAAACACCATTTTCAAATCCTTTCTGTTCAGAATACTGCAAACCCTTTTAAAGCCATGCTTCTTCTTTCATTTTGTGACAACATAGAGAAATTATTGCTTTGTTCCTTATATAAAGCATCTACCTCTCGCTCTTCACTCAGGCAGCTTCCCTGAATAGTTAATGGACAGTAAAGAAATTTTCCTGATTTTCAAGCTTACACTTAGAAAAAAAGGCATGCCCCCAAAAGGGAAAATAATAGTAAGGTGCTAATTCTTATGACTAATTGTTGTCAACATCCACTGTTGTCCTCAGAATTTTCCCTTTGCTCTTGTTTATCTGTCTCTGGTTTGCATCGAGGCCTATTAAAATACAATCATTCTTCTCTTTCTCTCTCTTTTATAGCGGAATTAGAGTTTGTACAGATAATCATAATTGTGGTGGTCATGATGGTTATGGTGGTTGTCATCACGTGCCTGCTGAATCACTACAAACTTTCTGCAAGGTCCTTCATCCATCGGCCCAGCCAAGGACGGAGAAGAGAAGAAAACCTATCATCGGTAAGGAGGTTGGGGGCCCCCAATTCATTTTGTTATCCATTAAGACTTTCCTATTTGTCAGCCCGTCCAACCGTTACGGTCCACGAGGATGGGGTGAAGGAGATGTCCGAAAAGGCAAGATGGCAAGCACAGCACCTTGAAGCTCCATTTGCCATCTTGCCTGTCGTCTCCTCGTTCCTCCAATGCATGATGCAGATCCCGATGCCTTTAAAATATTAAAGGTGAAAGATAGTAACCTTTTTTTATACCAATACTGCACACACACATACACACACACACAGCGCCTAGCGCTGGCAGTTCTAGCAATCCTCAGTTATCATCACTAAGCAAATTTCCACAGGTCATTAACTGAAGACTTCATGTAACCACAACTGTTGACTTCCTGCCGACTTCCCCATTGATTTTGCTTGTGGGAAAACAGTAGGGCAGTTGCAAATCACGACCACGGGACTGTGGGGTGTTGTAATGGTCAGAAATCCAAGCTGATTGGCAAGTGCCGGGATAGCATTCACATGACTACAAGGTCCTACAACAGCTGGACCTTGTTCAAGGCTTAATTATTTCGAGCAGTCGCTGAATGAGTTGCCATTAACCAAGGACCTCCTATATTTGATACAGCTAAGAATTTGTTTGGATGTCTAAACAGGAGGAAAAAAAGTATCATTTACTCTGTTGTGGCTTTGAGGCAGGATATGCCAAGAGCACCCACCCACCCATCCCACTTGTGAATATTTGCTTGGTGGCAAATAGGTTATCTCTGTAGACAGTGTGAATGACTTCTCTGAACAAAGCTTTAGATTCCTATGTTACATGTCACACACATTGATATGGGTGAGGGAAGAATGAGCAAGAACTGTTATCCATGGAGTGTTTATAAGGGCACTTATCTTTTAAGCACCCCCAGAAAGCTGCTTTGCAAAACAGCATGGCTCCCCCACTTCTAAGACAGAAGGGGTTTTGAACGATAAAATTCTTCCACTGCTCCATTTCGCTCCATTCCGCTTTCACCAGGAATTTCCCTCTGTAGCCCTTTTAATTTTATATTTTCTGTTTTGCCTATTTACATTCAAAGGGGCATTTTTTTACTTTACGATTTTATAAAGATGACATCTATTAAAAGCTAATTATAATAATTTATTCCAAACCTTACTATGTTTTTTCCCCTTTTAGAATGTTTATTTTTAGTGGACTTCTTTTGTGGATCATCCCTCCTGCACATAGATTTCTAACCTCCCACCTCCCCCCCCCAAAAAAAAAACCCCACCGTATTAACCAAATAAGTTTCTTAATAATGAATTGAAATAAACTAAATTAAACTATACAACGGAGTAATGCAGGAATCCATCAGAGCCCAAAGGGTGCTATTCTCCTGTATGTGATTTCAATTTATATTTAATTTTATGTTACAGAGTGGCATGGTGGCCTAGAGGTGGAGCTCTCGCCTCACAATCAGGAGGCTCTGAGTTCAATCCTAGGTAGAGGCAGATATTTCTCTCTGTGTGTACAATGAGAATATATCTGCTTAAACAATCTCCGCATTGGTGACAGGAAGGGCATCCGGCCAGTAAAGACTCAGCTCTGGGATTACAGGGTCTTTAAAAGAAGATGATGATGATTTAATTTTATGTCACAATTGAGTGGGACATAATGTTGACTTAAGATGTGAATCAGTGTAAAGTTGGTTCTAGAATTTTTAATCTGGATTAATTCATCCAGATCAAAAGCAGTGTGTAGAGGAGGCACAAAGCTCTTAAAAAATGGAAAGGAAAAAGAGAAGGTCAAAAAGTCTCAGCTTCTCAACTCAGTGGCAGCCTTTAACTGCCTTCACCACACAAGACTGTCAGCTTGACATCAGCCTAAAGAACTGTAGAAGCAGATGGAATAATGCAATAGCTTTCCTCACTGCTAAATTAAATAGACACCAGGGAGCAGAAGGCAATGATATACTCACTACTTAATAAATCTGCCACGGGATGATGAAATATAAACATTTTTATGTTTAACTGTGACTCTGTCCTCTCTGCCTAGTAGGTGTGTGACTGTTATCAGGCAGATCTTTAACCCACGCAACTTGAATTTTATGGGAGAGGGGAGAAACTCCTGTTCTGAATGCAGGATTGACTGCTTGGAGCATTTGGGAAGAAATTCAAGCCCCAAACAGTGTGTTTCACACCAGAAACGGAGCTGTTTCACATGCAAAAACCTAGCCAAAATGCTCGAAACAGCCTTTTTTGTGCATTCAGGCAGTGTAGTTTGATCCAAGGGACAGCAGGGTTCGTGAATTTATATGCTCGAAACGATTCAGGACTAAGTCTTTTATTAATTGCCACGTATAGCTTTCCATTTGAGGAAACTTTTTACCGTCCTCCTTACATGCTAATCTTGACCGGCGTGTCCCCTTGTCTACCTGACATGATGAGAAGACCTAGACATCAAGTTCCTGATGTTGTTTCAAGGCTCGTAAACCCAACAAGGTTTTTCTTGACTTACATCAAAGGCGTTTTTCCTCCTTGCGCCTAACCAGGGCACAAACAGAGCAATAGTGAGAGCACTTACACTTATATACCGCTGCACAGTGCTTTATAGCCCTCTCTAAGCGGTTTACAGAGTCAGCATATTGCCCCCAACAATCTGGGTCCTCATACCTTCAGATTCCTGTTTTTTTCCTGCCCAGATCTGCATGATACTGCCTTCATCTCAACCTCAACTCTTAAGTGAGACAAGCTTAAATTATTCCCTGCTGTATCCTTGCTAAAAGAATTGTTTTCCTCTTTAAGGTGGCGCATCCAATGTCAACTTGCAAGGTGCATCAAGCCTGCTTTTGTCACCCATTATATCAGATAGCTGGGTGACCAGGTGTAACTGGGACCAGTGAGGCAGTTATTAGCTGTTTCGGGGCCTCTGGTGCAACCTGTGATCAGCCCCGTTGTCTGTCATTGTGCTGTTCTAAACACAACAACTCTCTTGATTTTCATAAGGGTGATAGAGCAAACAAATGTCCCCTTTGTATTTCTTTGGCCACCCTCCTGTAGCTTCATGCAAACAGTTCCCTCCAGCAAATCCTTGTCTATCAGTTGAATATGATGAATAGATGTGACGATTTTACATCCCCTGTAGAATGGTGGGAACAATCAGTAGGTAGTAAATTTAAGCGGGGGGAGGGGGGTGTATCAGAATTGCTCAGTAGTGTTAGACAGCTTTGTTGGCTTGGCGCAGTGGTTAGGGTGCAATACTGCAGGCCACTTCAGCTGACTGCTAGCTGCAGTTCGGCGGTTCAAATCTCACCGGCTCAAGGTTGACTCAACCTTCCATCCTTCCGAGGTGGGTAAAATGAGGACCCGGATTGTTGTTGGGGGCAATATGCTGACTCTGTAAACCGCTTAGAGAGGGCTGAAAGCCCTATGAAGCGGTATATAAGTCTAACTGCTATTGGCTCCTTGCTAGTTTTGCGCATGGCTGAAATAGTGTAACCGTTGAGTGAACCAATTCAAAACCTACCTACCCCATTGCTTCCAAAATATAACCCCAAAGAATCTGTAAGTCAGTATAAAGGAAGCCTTTATAGAGAGGGGAAAGGAAGGAGAGGAAAATCTGACATAAACATTGTATCTTTGGTTGGGCTCCCTTTCAATCTATGGCTTAATCTTATTGAAGTATGGTGATGCCGGAATAGATGTAAGATAAGAAGCCAGCTAGGGTGTTGAGATAACAGATATGCCTGCAATCAGACCCACTCTATACCTGCTGCAGTGCTATAATTGACAGATCCATCCATACAATTTATATGATTACCCATCTTACAAAAAAGTGACTCTGGCCTGCAAACCAGCGATGGGATACTGCCGGTTTAACAACTGGTTTGGTGAGCACACACTTTGCTCCTGATTCGTGCACATGCGCGCCAAAAGTGTTTGCTGGCAGCACTGAAAATAGAGCATTTAGAAGCTCAGCTATTTACCTTCCAAGTCAGCAACGATAACTAGAACAGCGGGGGGGGGGGGAATCAGCTGTGCCACGCGATTGAGATGAGCTAGAAATCAGAAAATAAAGGGCAGGATAGGGCAGGTGGGCGGTGCCAGCTGATCGTTGGAGCTACCAGTTTGCCTGGACCAGTTCGAACCGTCTGAATACCATTTCTGCTGCAAACTATAAAAACTACAACATAAAACATTAATATATATTTTTTTAAAAACCAAAGAACAGATGTTTGTCCATTCAGCTAGTGACGTGCTGAAGTGGAAGGTTAACCAATTCAACTAATCCTTTTCTGTATTATGCACAGCACACACATAATCAGGATACACATAATCAGCAGCAATTGAGGGCAGATGCAACAGAACAGGGAAGAGCAAATAATCATTTTTGTCCAATTCAAGGAAGGTGGAGGATCACACTTTTAACTCAGCCTGTGATGTCTCATCCAAACACAAGATCCAGACCAAGATTGGTCTGAGCATGAACACCTTTTGAAAGTACTATTACATATTGTTTGAGACAAAATAAGTTTTTATGCCTGTCTTCATGAAAGTGAGTGCCACATACTTACATTGGGCTACTCTTCAGTAAATCTAGAATTGGCTGGAATCTAGAAATCCACTCTAGAATTATAAAAGGACAAACATGAAGCATGGGGCAGAAGGGCCCTGATTCAGCTTGCGGTGAGTTTCACAAAGTTGCAGTTATCCTAGTTAGGATTTTGAACTAGGATTTTGAAAAGTTGTTTACCCTGAGCTATGAAGGTTTATTGGGTGGTTTTGAGCCAATCACTGCATCTCCGTGTAGCCTATCCTTATAGGCGTATTGTTTGGGAGAAAATTGCAAGAAATGCTACTTAGGCTGCCTTCAGTTTCTGGAAAACAGGATATGAATTAATAAACAAATCAGACAGTCATCTCTATACAAGTGTAAAATGACTTCCCTGGAACTTTAACTTGAAAAAGAAGTTAATGGAATAATTTTGCTGGAAATTTTCATGTATTAATGCATTGCTTGTTTGCTTTTCTTTTCTTTTGTTAATGGAATCTTCACTTGGTGAAACACCAAGTGTATTTCTTACCATCTGAAGGTGCACCCCCTAATTTTTAGTACACTGGTTATTGTTTATGTTAAATTAAAAAGAGAAACCAAATTTCAGATCCCACCTGAATCTGTAATTCTGCAGCGACTCACAAGAGCTTTCTGAAATACGGATTTTTTTTATTAGTTACATCAGTCAAATGCTGCAACCGGATTAATACGCCGTATGAAATCAATGCTGGCAATCCGTTATCTTTCACTTCAAAGGAGTCCCTTATCGTATACAGAGCCATTTTTGTGATAAGATTTGCCATAAAACAGAAGGAAGGGGAAAACATCTGGAGTGGTTCATTTCCATATAAATCACTTCTTTTCCCCTTCTTAGAGTAGCAGCACTGCCTTGGGGCTTTATGAGTGCAGAGCAGAGTTTTAAAACACAATGGAACAGAATGCATTCGATAGGCATTTAATGCCTAAATATACTGCAAGACAAGCTGGCACAGCATACTTTCACCTTTGAAGCCATCTTAATTTTAACTTATTTTGCCTACATGAGGCACTGAAACCATCAGAGTGCAAAAATAGAGGATTTTTTTTTTCATCCCTCCAGAGTTGACACTGGTTTGGGGGAAGTCAGGTAAAACTTCATAGACAGGAACAGGATATAACATAACACTCTTTTTTTTCTCTCTACTGATCTGAACAGATTAGCATCCTATCTCTTGCTACTTATAACTTTGGGAGTTTGTATCCAATTTGCATTCATTATGCAAAGTTTGTATAACTCCCTTATTGCGTGATAATTGCCAATTATCAGGTAGTTTGGTTTAGATACACACCAATAAATTTGTCACCCCCTCTTCTGGTTTCAACTGGAGGTACAATTTCCATTTTTGCTCATTTTCTTTTTAAAGGCATGCGTGGCCATGCAAATACTTGATTCAATATGCTGCAGATCCTGAAGTCTGAATGAAGAAGCCGAGAACTCATTGATGAAATTCCCCTGGGGAAGTTCAGATTTGGATAAAGGGAAAATCCACATCTAATGTTTATAATCCTATAGAGCTAGAATATGAAAATTGCAAGCAAATGACACAGCTTAAAGGAGTATAAATGATTAGATTCCAGTGCGTTTGGGCTTTTCCAAGTTCTAAAATTAATTGTCTTTACTGTATTCCACAGCTCCCATTTTAACCAGTTCTCCTGAGAAGAGTCTCTTTTGTGATTTACAACTTTCTAGACAGTCCTCTTAAATTTAATGACCAATAAATGCATTTGAATTGCAACAGGGCTCGGCTGGGAAGAACTGTTTTAGACATTCATGAAGAGCAAGGTGAAACAATGTGGATTAAGCTTTTAAATATGCACTAAAATGCTTGCTTTGTCTTATAAATTCTTATTGGGGGGGGGAGAAAAATTGCAATAGGAATTTCCCAGTCCCTGACAAAAAAAGCATTAAGTGCATTTCAATGAAAGAAGAGACAGAAATAATAGGGAAATGGAGAATTTGGAAGGAAATCACACTCATTTCTTTTTGTGTCTTTTCTACTGCTAATTAACAAGAGGTTAAGAACAAAGGATACTTGATACTCATTAGTCTCAATAAAAGCCATGGATTGAGCTGTCTTGCTGAAATCTGGCTTCCACCAATAAAGAATAATGATAGAAACATAGTTTACCATAAAGGCCTGATTACTTAACCAATATATTGAAAAAAGCAGCAAGATGAATATGGAATTGTGTTGATTTTTTTTGTCTTCGATGACTAGTTGTTTCCCTTTGGCTGGGCTTAATCAACTTTATAGGGTTACTATGCGGATTTAATAGAGAAAATACAGGGATGTCACCTTGAAACCCTTGAAGAATAACAAGATTAAATAGATATTTCAATCAGTGGTTATTTTCTTATTTTTTTTTAACAATGCCCCTCAATAGTATGTTGCAGATCAAAGTGTATTTTGAAAATACTTTTTTGAAAAGGAGTAGTTTTGCCAGAAGAGTTCAATAAATAAATAATCACTCACTTTCCTTAATTTCCCCTAAATCAGCATTTGGATTTGAAAGCCACACACTACTAATGAATGCTTATCATTTTTAATACGCATGTGCTTTAAAATAGGTTGTAGCACTAATGTGATACCCCTCCTTTGCAACTCAGAGAGATCTTAAACCTATGAAAAACACAGTTTGAATTTTGTCACATTCAAAACCTTCTGAAATATCATTAGACAAGAATCTGTTCTGCCAGCTTCCACTCTTAAGACAACTATAGTCTCTTGACCCGTTATGCTCAATATCATTGATTTCAGGGTTCCAAGTAACACACCCCCCCATGCAAAAGATGGCTTCTAGGCCTGACAATTGACTTTTCTTCAGAGTGCAAAATGGGACAGATGTGTTCCTCAAACTTCTCCACAATAGGCAAGATCAAATATTTATCCCTATGTTTTGCAAAAGTAGGGGGGGGGTGTTAAAAGACAAAATTGGTAATATAAACCTTGTGTAGGATTGCATGTGAAACCTCTTGATTCTCAAAGGGTCACCACCTCCAATATACACTATATAAACATTACAAAACAAAACATAAATAAAATGAATAAAATAAACAAAATAAGTAAAATAAATAAATACAAAATTATATTGGAGGTGGTGACCCTTTGTGAGCTAAATGTGTCGAATTTTCATTTTAATATATACCTATCAATGTACATTCATAGTGACAATAAAGTTACATTCTTTTGTATTCTCTATTCTATTCTACTCTATTCTCTATTCTATTCTCTATTCTATTCTATACTGTATTCTATTCTATTCCATTCTCTATTCTGTTCCATTCCATTTTTATTCTATTTTATTCTCTCTTCTATTCTCTATTCTCTGTTCTATTCTATTTTATTCTCCATTCTATTCTATTCCATTCTCCATTCTATGCTATGCTATGCTATTCTATTCTCTATTCTGTTCTATTCTCTGTTCTGTTCTATTCTGTTCTCCATTCTGTTCTATTCTATTCTCTATTCTCCATTCTATTCTATTCTCTATTCTGTTCTATTCTCTATTCTCCATTCTATTCTATTCTAAAAACCTGCTGTCTTCCTTCCACTTTTTAGGATGGCAGCTTATGGCCTTCGGAAAGCACAGTATCAGGAAATGGTGTAACAGAGGTAAGGAACAGACATGAAATAGTGGATAAAGTCCTGCTCCTTGGCTTGCATGGCAGCCTCATGTATTTTTCCTCTTCCTCCTCTCCAGCAGCAAGTCTATACACCAAGGCCTACCGACAGACTAGCAGTCCCATCCTTTTTGCAGAGAGATCGCTTCAACAGATTCCAGCCAACCTACCCTTATATGCAGCACGAAATTGACCTGCCCCCTACCATCTCCCTGTCGGATGGAGAAGAGCCGCCTCCTTATCAGGGGCCCTGCACCCTGCAGCTCCGAGACCCCGAGCAGCAAATGGAACTCAACAGGGAGTCGGTCCGAGCCCCTCCCAACAGAACCATCTTTGACAGTGACCTGATAGATAATTCAGTCTACGGTGGGCCCTGCCCTCCGAGCAGCAACTCGGGCATCAGTGCCACCTGCTACGGGAGCAACAGCCGAATGGAAGGGCCTCCTCCCACGTACAATGAGGTCATCGGGCATTTCCCGGGATCTACGTTTTTCCAGCACCAGCAGAACAACAGTGGGGTTCCTTCGTTCCCTTCGCCTTCGCCCATCAGCAATCTCGAGAGCACAACAATGTGGAACAAAGAGAAGGACAAACAGAAAGGGCACCCTTTTTAAAAGAAGAAAGAAAAGAAAAAAGAAAGGAAACACTCTGCACTTCTTGATAAATAGGAGGGGGGTAGTATATGGAGACGGGGAGGCGGGGGAGGGGTGAAACCAAACGCCCTTCTCCACCTCTGTGTAGTATAAATATTTACATGTTATGTTTGGTCTGAATGCACAAGCCAACAAAACTTGCAAAAACATTTCTTTGTTGAGCTCTGATAGGAAGATTTTGATTTTATTTTTTTCCCCTTTCTAAATAAATCTACAGCAGTCCTTCCCCGCCCCCTCCTCCTCCTCTTTCTCCTCCTCCTCCTCCTCCTCCTCCTCCTCCATTTCCCTTTCCCCCAGTTTTGTATCTAGTTGAATCGCGTGTGTGGATGCTACGACTTGTTTTGTTTTATTTCACTTAACTTTAAAGATTGAAAAAAAAAATATTTGCACAAAAAACATTTGTTTAAAAATCTGCAATATATATATAAATATATATATTAAAAAAATAAGAGAAACTGTATGTGTGTGGGGGTGGGAAGCAGGAGTATTTTTATATTAGAAGAGGCCTATTGAGGGGGGGGGAATGATTTGTTGTGGGGTTTTTTTCTGAACTTAGAATATAAAACATGGCAACTTTTGAGAGCCAACTCAAGAAAGCATGTATGGCGTTGTAAAAAAAAAAAAGTGAGAAAGAGAAAAACAATAGGAAAAAAAGAAAAAAAACAAAAGCAGGGGTTTAGAATTATTTATATAAATGTTGAAATTTTGCACTATTTTTTAATATAAATGTGTCAGTGCTTGTGTTGGTTAGAAATCTCTTATATCCTGTCTACCATAAAACTGTTGAGGAAATTACATTGAGGTCTGAACGGAGTCATGGGGGGAGGGGGGGAGAAGGACTGCATCTTGTGCGAAATTTTCTTTTTTTTAACTCTTCAGAGTCACATGACCCTCTCTTAGACCTCTGGTAGTTCCTTGACACCGATCGACAAGTACAGACGGATGCCTATAAAAGAGACTAGAACGCACCATATATACATGTATTTCATTAACTGTGAAGGGGCCGAGCATGTATAAAAATTGCCCCTTTAAAAGAAATGAACAAGGTAAATTGCGCCCGAGCCCCACAGTTTCCCCCTCTGTGCTTGAGGGTGTGCTTCAAAAGGGGAAGAGGCCATTTCTACACCTGTGAGTATATGTTTCTCCATTGATCCGATGCTTATGTATTTTCTTTGTACTGGGTTTTATTTTTATTTTATTTTTTTGCACTTGGGTGTTCATTCCCAGGCTTGTCAAGCAGCATAATGCTTACATCATCCTACATTCCCTATGAAATCATTGCGGTTGTTTTTTTTTTTTTTTTTTTTTTTTTAAGGGAACATTTATCATGTGAAATTGATTTATGGCTATTGAAAGCATGAAAAAAAAAGT